CAAAAAATATATTTCAGTAAATATGTAATATTTTTAATATTACATTGCAATTTAATATTATATTGTAATAGGTTACCTCTATTATAATTTCATTCTTATTTATTAAATTTATGTACAGTGAGCAAAAAAAACGGACAACCCAGAATGACTTTTGATCTAATGATCTCATTTTCACGTTTTAGGACGCAATGACTCAAGGGGATGACCTCAAATATGATACTTAATAAGTACAGACGATATTTCACTGTACAGACGAGTGACGCTGTTGTTTGTATTCTCTAATTTCCTTGGAGACGTGATTTAGAAAAAAGAAAAGAAAAACAAATGAATTTCACCCCACAACAAACCAATAATTTTTTGCATAGAAACTTTCTTGATTTAATTTCTCTTAAAGTTGGAAGTTATAAGGATTTTGTACTATATTAAAAGTACAAATTTGTACTTATTAACGCATCTGATATTCATATTTAAATAAGTGAGGCGGTGTTTCTATGTACTTTTTGAGTACATATGCTTATGCTTCACATTGTTATCCGGGTGTAGCGTAATTAGTAAGCACTCCTTTTTACGGATATAATCGTGAGCGATGATGAAAATATATCTTTTATTTTCCAGCTTTTTATTAATTTTTTATTATCTTTTTTCCTTTTTCTCGAACTTTTTTTCCGGTTTCTTATTTCTATTACTATTTTTCCTTCCCCCCACCTTTTTTTTCATTGTTCTGTAATTTTTTTCCATGTTTTCTCTACAATTTGAATATGAAAAAAAGGGGGGAAAGAAGAAGAATAATAAAAAAATTAAATAAGAAACAACTGGGAGGAAAAAAAAGAATAAAATTTTTTTGAAAAATCCGGAAAATAAAAGATATAACCTTTTCATCAGCCCACACGATTATATCCGTAAAAAAGGGGGCTGATGAAAGATTATATCTTTTATTTTTCCGGATTTTTTAAAAAAATTTTATTTATTTTTTTTTCTTCCTCCCAGTTGCTTGTTATTTTTTTCTTTTTATTATTATTGTTTTTCTCCCCCCCCCTTTTTTTTCATATTTCTGTAATTTTCCTTTGTTTTATCTTCATTTTGAACATATCTAATAAGTTCTGTTTACTTGCAGCTTATGCGCAATAAATGAAACTTATTGTTTTTCTTAATTTTCATCGTGTNTGGCTGGGGGTATATATATATACCCCCAGAGTCTATCTATTCGACTCGAGTAAACTGCATGCAAGGAATGTATCAAAGAAAGTTTAAACTTGGACTAAATCATAGTTAGTTTAAAATTCAGAGGTAGTCTCCGAAAAATTTGAGTAACTTATGAAAAACAGAAATGCAAATGCTCTCTGTGCTGCCTAATTCAGTAGGACCTTAAAAGATCTGTCTCCTTCTCAGTCCAGTTCTCACGAAAGAAAAGAAGATAAAACATTAAGGAATGTTACTCTTCTGGACTAACTTCGCTTTATTTTAAATAAACTTTAGCACTCCTTGGGATATTGCCTATAGATATATAAGGTAACTTAATTAAAATCTTAATCTGTAATAGTTGAAACATCATAATTGAAACGAGGAAAAATCAAACGAGTCTTTTTTTATAAATTGAGTTTTACTGTTTCAGTTGTTTTTGTAGATAATACGCCTCCTGTCCGTGTAATTTATTCAGAGAAAAAGTACATTTTTTTGTTGCTTGATTTCGTTACGTTAAACATTGTCTGTACTAACTAATTAACATACTTGAAGTTACCCTCTCGAACCATTAAGATTGATTTCTAGTAAATGAGAATCTGACCATTACATCAAAAGTTATTCAAAGTGATTCATTTTATTATCTTGAGCACTGTATTTTATTATTTTCTTCGCTTTAGTTATTTGTCTCTAATCTTACTTATTGAAAAGGAAGCTCTCAAAACTTGTGACAAATGATATAATATTTTGCTTGTGCCATTTAAAAAACAATTGGTATTTATATTGATGCAGCGCACCAACTAAAATGTAAGCAATGTAGCTAATCAAAGAGTGGTCAAAAGTTGTCTATTAGGTGATAGAAGGGAATTTTTTTTTTTTGCGACATTCAAGAAACAATTGTTGTTACAACAAACATTTAATTGAAAACTGAACAATCAAACTAGCCTGAAAGTGGTTGGAATTTCAATTGGTGATTCATATTTAGCCGTAATATGCAATAATTGCCCAATTAGCAGTAATTTCCTAATTGACCATAATAATGAATAAATTCTTCTATAGCGGTCAGGAAACTACTGAAACTTATTTTGTCATTGAACATGAAAACTTCCAGATCATTTTATCGGAATCGGAAAGTGGTCTAAATTTTTATTGTCTAAACTTTTTATTTGAGGATGTGATGATAAATTATGCTTGCAGGAGTCAGGAAACGATTAAAATTTACTTTATAGTCAAATAACATAATGGTGCAGTTACAAATACCTCTACCTGATCGGAAAGTGTTTCGATTGATCATGAGTTCTGTTTGGTGTTTACTTTATAGTTAAATAACACAATGGTGCTGTTACAAATACCTCTACCTGATCGGAAAGTGTTTCGATTGATCATGAGTTCTGTTTGGTGTTAATATGACGATAAAATCTTTAATTTATTCCATCTAAAATTGCATTGTCGTCATACATTAAATTCTAATTGAAACTTGATCACCTTATCTTAATCAAGAAGTTGATGAAATTTCTATTGAAGATAAGTTTAATTTGGATATACAGTCAAACCTCGTTAATCTCAACTCAAAGGGACTCAGAAAATTTTTTCACATTAAAAGTAATTTACGTTGGCAGAAGGGTTGGATGAAAATTGGATGATCAGGAAAGGGTTGGATGTTACGTTGGATGAAAATCGTACAATACACAAACATTTTCTATTATCTACGTATATGTAAATTAATATAATTTTCATTTCAATAAGTGTTTTTATGTTTCGCTTTATATTTAACTAATAACTTCTATAAATCTCATAACAAATACAGTCAAATACAACCAAGTACTTTAAAAAAGAAAATAAAGTTATTAAGGGAGTAACAAATTTATTAGTTCAGACCAAATTCAAGAATTGTTCTTACTTTTCATGCTCTGTTTTTTTTTTTTTTTTAATTGTGTAGAAGAAAATAAAAAATTATTGAAAAGTAACTAATAGAAGTAAACTGAAGCATTGCTCAAATTATTCTAATTATTAATTGTATTAAGCAAAGTAATTGGTAATACTCGCGACTTTGGTTTGTTATTGAAAGATGATTTCCAAAAGTCTTCTAATTTTTCAACTGTATCAACAACAAAAAATGATTCGAAAATTAAGGACACAATTTACAAAATTAATTTTCAAAATTAATTTTTGAATTTACAAAATTAAGGATAAATTTAACTGCTCCGTAAGTATTCATCAGAGAAAAGCAAACTAAAGTATTCGCCTAGGAAATTAAAGAAAAATTTTAGCTCCACTTGTCTCCATTTGTAGAAATGCAATTCAGTCTAAAATTCGCTTTTTATGCTTGTAGCAATTACAAAAAATGCCCGGTTGCTGAGTGGTAGAGCTTCACGCTCTTGTGCCACAAGTTTAAGGTTTTATCCTCAAACTGGGCAAAATTGACTCAGCCTTTAGTTCCTGCAGTGGGTCGATAAAATAAGTACAAAACATGTTTGGGTAAACACTGGGGTTACCGGTTTCGACTGATAATCTAACAGGAATATGCCCCCCTGTACCCCGATCCCAAGGTCAAATAAACTCGGATGACCACAGCAGGTCTTGGTCCCTTATGGATAGTCTCGTCACTGAGTTTAATTTAACTTTTGAAAAATTGTGAATTGGCCGGGCAAAATTAAAAAATTTTAATCCTAATCAAATAGATAACAGTAATTCGCCAAAATTAACCTTAAGACCAATTTTTTACAAAGAAATGAAACAAAATCCAACTATGAGATGTAATTTCATTACAATGCAGCTCCTAAAATTGATTTTTTATTAGAGTAAATTCTTTAAAAAAAAAAAAAAACCTTAAGAAAATTAAAAATTAATATGAAATTGCGCCGATAATTTTCGATAATTTCTTTACCATCTTAGAAGAAACTATAATTTTTTTTCCTAAAACTGCAGTGCTATTGCAGTAAAAATATTTTCAGGAGAAATCAAAATCCGTTGAACTTTTTACTCTCTTATACCTCTTTTATACGCTAGATCAAATGCACTATAAAAAATGGAAACTAAAATTTCACGAAACTTTCTTCGTTTCTGACGATATCGTTTCTTGTTATATACTCCGAGCCAACATTTCGTCAAATTGACGAAATAACTATCGTAACATCTGCAAGGAAATGAATTTCGTCAATAGTAAAGAAATATTTCAACCTTATATTTTCTTCCAAAAAATGAATAAATAAATAAAACATTTGCAGCGCCCAATGTATCCTAACAATCATTTTATAGTGGAAAACATATAGCTGGGTCAATGTCACATTAATAACTCAAGAAAGACAACTTCTTGACCACCATACAGAACTGTCGGTTTACATTGCATTTTATTTTCGATGGTCTCATCCTCATTTCGATTCATCCTAGTTTCGTGGACAATGCACTACGATGAGATTTCAAGTTGAGGAAATATTTCTGTCATGCATTTGAGAGTTTCCATTTCGCCACAAATCACAAGATTTCGTGATGAAATAACTCTCAACATTAACAAAATATAGCTGAAGGATTGCTGAATCATCAAAAGGGAGAGTCTTACTTCTGAGAGTGTAATTAATTTGACCATTAAATTTTTTAGCAGAATTAAAAAGAATTGTATCCGTATGAAAATAAGTGTTTTATAGATACTAAAACATTTTAAAGTCCTTTGCATTTAGATAAGAATTTCAGAGGAACATTTCTTAGAAAGCTATTTGTGGTTGTCTTTTATCGAATATCAGTAAAGCATTTTAACACATCACCAAATCATTACCAAATATTAACCAAAACCCTATTTTAATATACAATAATAAGGCGAAAAGTAAACAAAAAGTATTTTTTATTATACAAATATTTACAAAATTATTTACAATCAAAGTGATATTATTTCACCTGAATAACATTTTAGCCAGGATAAGACAAATATTGTTTCTAAAAAAAATACAAAATAGTTTATTTATTTCATCTTTTTTTCATACAAAAATTCTATTTTAGAACAAATGAAAAAGAATTTGCTAAAAAGCTCAAATAATACTAAAATTTAGGAAAAAAATAGGTCAACAATAATAGTCCTATAGTAGTTAAATTTCAAATAAACGTTTAAGAAAATTAATTAAATAATGTTTAACGTTTAATAATGAATTGTAAAAAAAAAACATACGGTTATGTGATAAAAGCATTTAATTAAATGAACTGATGGCATTTGATTTTTTAAAAGATAAAAAAAAATCTGAAACAAAAATATTTAAATGGAAATTAATAAATATCACAATCATCAAGTCATTACATAGTGAAATAAACATAAAATACAAGGATCATGCTATTTTTCAAAGACTGCATAGAGCATTCGAAGAAGGGATTTGTTTAGTCGTAATGCGCATTTATCTTGGCTCGGTTCTTCTTGACAGTTAAAAATAATTTTAGTCAAATTTTCTTTTGCTTATTATAGCTGTTACTTGCTGTTATTTCTCATAAAGTGAGTACACATTTTCAATTGTTTTTTTTTTATTAATATTTTCGAAAAATATCGATAAATGAATTCGGTTTTATCGATTTTAATAATCATAATTTGAAGGAGGGAAAAATCACAGTTGTCAGAATACTTGCAGAAAAAGGAGTCTTAACAAGAGCACCAATGTTTTTTTTAAAAAAAAAAATAAAACTGCCCAAGCCAAATAATAAACTGAAGGGCAAAGAAAAATAATTCGATTGACTATCATGAAATAACCACGCTTAAAACCGTTCTCCACGCATAAAATAATAAAAAATTCAAGTGAATAATAAGCTATTTTTCTTTTTCAATTGATATGAAATCTTAAAATTTCGTAAAATTAGTTTAGTCGACATCTAGTCAGTCCCTTGAATGCTGATAATAAAGATGGCCTAAAATGACAAAATGAAGAAAAGACACACTTTTTTGAAAGGGAAAAGCATTTATGATCTAATTTTTCAATATTTTTAAATTTAGTTTAAAATATATATAGTATACATAAACAATTCCGTGCATAGTTTACGAGTACTTACTGAAATACCGTCACTGGGGAACATATTTGTTTTTAAATTTTGCTTTCTATGTTTTTTAAATTCCTAAATACTAAAATGTGATTAAAACAAATTGTCTATTTTGGTTTCATCTAGGTTTAACCCTAGATTTGCAGTTTGGAAACGCCTAGTTTATTATTTTTTTTTCATATAATATTACCCCTTTTTACTTTTTAAAATACTTAAGTAATTTTTTTTCAGACGTTACGTTTACATTAGTCGTAATTTTCCGGTAGTAAATCTCTAAACAATGCTTCTTTTTTTAAAAAAAATCTATCCCGAACTATCCTTAAATAAACGTGATTTCTTATTCTTCAAACACCTGACTGTACTGTTCTTAAGAGTTGATTTAAAACAATTCAGGAAGTATAAGAGTTATTTGGTTTCTTAGAAGTCGATAGTTCCTTTTATAAGTGCTTAAAAACAGTACAGTAAACAATTTCAACATGAAACACGTATATTAATGTCTTACTTTTTATGTACGTTTTAAATGAAAATGAGTAAAAAATCATTGTTCTTTAAAAAGTTATTTCATAACTCAATTTTCATTTCGATACGGTCATGAGAGTTCATTGCTTGGCAAACAAATTACCATTTACATTAAACAATCTATTTGATCTATTGTTTTTTAGTCACATCAGAAACACAGAGTAATTAAATACTTTCATATCCCAATTGCTTCCACTTTTTGAAGCTAAGACTTTTTATCTAGAACTTTCTTTTTAAATATCAGTGTACTGTTTTTACTAGACACTACAGTTTCTCTTTTTTTCGACTCTTGAGCATATTCGTCTACCGGAACTTCTACGACTTCGATCTCTAAACCATTTTTACCATGGGCTCCTAACTTTTTCAATGTTTCGTGATCCAAAGACTTAATTGCTTCTTCAATAGTTTGTCCATGCTGAATCTCGACTGCTAAAACTGGTTCTCTTCTGTAACCGTTTTTATCAGGGGGTGACACTACCTGGATAAATTTTTGCCCTTCTTGGTTTCCACCATCCTTGGAATATTCTTGACTTGATGTTTGATAGCTTGATGATTGGTGTTGGTAAGCGTTGTCGTCATAACCGCCTTGCTGTTCATACACAGCCGATCGACCATCACCATTTTGATAATCAGATTGTTCGTAGTATCCACCGCTGCTTTTAGAATTTTCTATTTCATACCCAGCTGCATTATGTTCTACTTGGTTTCCTACTTCTTCTGAAATTTGATATCCCCCTGATTTCAATTTGTATGTTTCTGTACCTTTTGGAGAGTGCGCTGAAACACCACCATACTTATCTTCTTCACTGTAGCCATCAGATTGGGAATAAGAACCAGCAGACTGGTAATTGCTGGATGATACTTGTCCATGTCCTTCTTGAGGGGCAATAATATGTTGAATCGCGTCTTTAATTTTGTCTAAATCCCCTATTTGCAAATATTTCAAAAGATCGTGAGGTACTTTGTCCAAAACGTGCAAATTAGGCAGCAAATCTTTAAGATCTTCTTCGCTCAATTTTATCAATTCAGCCTCAATGACGGGTTCTGAAGCAACAGATTTCGGTTTATGCCCCCCTGAACTCTTTGAATGCTGTTCTGTTTGATAAGCGTATTGAGCAAGATCAGGATAACCAATTTCAACATTTTTCGGTGAACTTGCATATTGCACAGGTTGAGGTAGACTAGCTGCTCTATACGGAGTTGAGTGGCTATTTTTACCACCGTATAAGCCTGATGGCACAGGAACTTCAACAACTTGTATGTTTTTCAAATTTAAAACATCCCCAACAGAAGGTAGAATAGGAGCTATTTGACCTACAGAAATTTCTTTAGGAATTATTTGTGGAATTATCGGGCTACTTTTAGGAAGAGAAATCAACTCGTAATGAAGAGATGGCTGATATGGAATACGGCTTTGAGGAATTCGTCCATAATTAGATTTTCTTCCCCTATTCTGTGAATTCCTATGCCTGCTGTAACCTTGAGAACTTTTTCCACCATAGGACTGACCACCTTGAGAAAAGGGGTGAACAGATAACTCCACCAACTCCACAGGTTTGCCACTTTCAAATGGTATATTTAGATTTGGAATAGGAATATCTTTAGCGCGTTGTATAAGATCGTGAAGGTTCTGTATTTGCTTCAAATCAATTTGTGGTAAATCTATAATTTGAGGCCCATAACCTCCTGACCCTCCTCCTCCTCCATAATTTTGCTGTTGCTTCGGTTTTTGAGGTCTCAATCTTTCCATATAGACTGGTATGTTTTTCTTAGGTGTTGTTTTAATCGCTGGTCTCGGATAGTAGCTATAAATATCTTTATGATACGTCGATGGCAAAGCGTGTGAGTAATATCGAGAAGTAGCATCGAAGCTGGTAGGTAGTGCCGACAGGATGTCGTGGTATCGTCCAGTTGGGGAGCCATGGTAATAGGAAGCACCTGACCTCACTGGCCGCCATCCACCAAAGAATAAAAAGCTGTCATCTTGCCTTTTTTCTAGCCGATGGTTCTTCAATGCATCATCTGAATATACTACGTTCCACAGCAATAGAGCATAGATCCAGATTGCCTGAAATAAAATTGTATAATTAGTTTTACAAAAGTTCAAGTAAAAAAGGAAATGGCTGACAAAGAATGTGTCTATAGGATAATTAAATATTGTAATGTGTTTTAAAGCGGAATAAAGCTGATATTTTTAAAGTAATTCCATTTCTGAAATGAATTTTTCATATGATGTTGTTGTTTTTGTTCATTTACCTCGCACTAGAGCTGCACAATGGGCTATTGGCGACGGTCTGGGAAACATCCCTGAGGATGATCCGAAGATATGCCATCACAATTTTGATCCTCTGCAGAGGGAATGGCACCCCCGCTTCGATAACCCGACGACCTGCACGCGAAGTCGAGCACTTTACGGTAGAACAGTTTAACGAGGACCAATACCGCACACCCTCGGTCCCTACGCAGACTGATCCAAGTGGTCACCCACCCGCACACTGACCGCAGCCAGTGATGCTTGACTTCGGTGATCTGATGGGAACCGTGTCTTAACGATCAGTCCACTACGGGACATTTTTCATATGAAAAGAGGAGAACTTAATAATTTAAAGTACTTTTCAGCTCATTTTGCAAAGGACTCATACTGAAGTCTTAATGAGAAATATTTTTGAACTAAATATATTAATTTCAGCCTATTTCTAGCATTTTTGAAGGCTGTTTACTTATTTTTTGAAGTGGTGATGATATTTATAAATATTAACATTTCGGTTTTGCTTGAAAATAGAACGAGAGGCAACTGCTAATATTTTTTTTAGCTGATGTGTATATTAATTAATTAACTAATATTCAGCCCGGGCAGGCAGGAACATAAAAATATTTTGTAGATTTTGGTCTTAGAAAAGCGCAAAAAATTATATATATANATAGAGTTCAGAAAAATAATGTTTCAAAAAACATATCCAAACCTATAGAAAGAGCATTCATAAATCAATATAGGAACAGATTTCCATTATCAAACAAGATGAGATAAAGAAAGGTAAATTATAAGTTCTTCGAAGAAGAAAGACGAAATAAAATTATTGGAAATATTGATTCTATATTTCAAAGGGAAAAATAGTAGCTGTGAACTTTTTGCAATCCCCTGCCCCGAGTGGAACGCGAAAGATTTTATTAAGCAGAATAAATGTATAAAATACTTGAACCGATTTAGAATAGAAAATTTATACTTTTTTTATAAAATATAAGAATCAATCGGCTTTGGAGAAAGCTTTGAATAGATTAATAGATTTCATAGGTCAAGCCTTTATGTGCTATATATATATATATATATATATATATATATATATAATAACATATTCTTTAATTATTGATTATTTGACTCATACAATAAGTCAAATAAATAAATAAACTACAAAAGTCTTGTGGTGGTAAGTACATATATTATTATATTAAATCTATTCCTCATAAAAGACATTCAGCACAGTGTTCGTTTTACTAGAAGATATTTAATGAATATTAGCGGTAGAGCTGGGTGATAAAAGTAAAATAGAATGCGAATATTATAGTATTTATTTATCTGCCTACTTTAATATTGAACTCCCGTTAATAGAGATAACAATATCATCGTGTAACGAGCATTATCAATCAATAAAAAAATTGCCAAATTAATTTAATTGCAGAAATATTTTAATCTATCGTAAATATCTATATTTCGAGGCCATACATTGGAATATTAAAATTCATAAATCACCTAGAACGAATAATGTCATATTTTTTACAATTTTCGAAGTTTAAAAACTCTTAATTACGAGACACAAATCTGAAAACATTCCCGTACGTAACCTTTTTTTCTTTAGTTTTTTGCTACAAATAAAAAATCGGCGGATATCAATAGCAACCTGAGTGTAGGCCATCTATTTTAAACCCACGCTAACTCCCCAATTCTGCCTCCAACACAAAACCAATAATTTTAATTTGTGGAAGAAGCGGTTAAAATCATAGAAGCTTCTCGAATAACTTCCTTTTTCCTCTTGAAGAAGGTTCATAAAAGTCAATCGGACACACCTGTAGGGTATGGAACGTAAATCACAGAACTAACAAAAAAGGAAACGCAGATGCTCCGTTACCTGCGGTGGGAAGATTCGTATACATACCTGGTTTCCTACAAGACGCTATTACGGGCACGTGATTTGTCTTGCTTTTAGCTCAGTCTGATCAATTTTATGCATAGCAAATGAGCAAAGCGTTTAAGCTGATGCAAAAGCGTGCAGATTTTATTAAACTGGTTTGAGGAAATGTATCTGTTATGTTTTGTTTTTGCTATCAGAGGAAATTAAACTTTATGATGTCTTGGCTTTATTTAACTAGAGAAGAAGAAAAAAAACTACTACTTTGTATGCATGCATTCTTAAATAGGTCATTGTCACAAAGTAATAATTTTACATAATACGTTTTTTTACACACTTTGAAGAATTTAATACTTTAGCAAGCTAATTTAAAAACACCATTTATTAGTTATTTATTAATTAGACGATTCTAAAATGATTTGTAACGATATTAACAAATTTACTACTGATAATCCTATGAAGTAAAAAAGCCTACTTTTGAAGTATTGAACAGAAAGGAAGAGATTAAGAAACTGAATATCAGTTTCTGGCTCCTAAGATATTCAAAATTTTTTTTGTTGAGAAAATTGGAAAATTTAGCTTAAAGTTTTAAAACAAAGGATAACCAAATGCAATTTTTTTACTGGCATAATTTTGGTAATAATTTTAATTCCCTAAAATGGGTTTTTAGCGTGTCTAAAAACGAAAGAGAAGAAAAATTAATTTTTCAAAGTAAACGTGTCTTTTTTTTTATTCCAACAACTTCCCTTCAAAACGTGGTGGTAGAATATATTTTCAAATTGCAGTGATTTTTCATATTTTCAGGGTTATATTCATTTGAAAAAAATACATTTTGTCCCTAATTCCGTAATTATTTCATTGTCTAAAAAAGAATATTTAAGATTTGTCCTTGAAGCTATTAAGATAACTTTCTAATACGTAAAAATCAGATTATTAAATCAAAATCATCAATCAATGACATGTTCCGTTCTTTTTTACGTTGCACTATATGCATCAGGCAATAAAATAGTCTGAAAAGATTAATAATAATACTATCAATTGGTTTTATAAGAGCAAAATATTTTTACTCTTATGCAAAACACCATGCATCTGCTAATTCAAACTTCTGCCTAAAACTATTTATTTACTAAGAAATCAACCAAGATAATAATTTTTTCTAAAAATAATCAAATTAAGGGAAAAATCAAAATTATTTGAACTGCCAAATACTTGTAATGCTTCACCAATTAATCGGATTAAAAAAAATTTACATTTAGTCAAATTAAATATTCTTAAAAAGAACAGAAAGAAGAAAAATAGAATTTTTATACGGTTCATCCCTAATTCGAAAACAAATTTTAATACTTACTTCCTATTCAAAATATTTCAAAAAGTTAGAAAATATTTAAGCATTAGAGATAGTATTATCGGCAAACCATATAACACTTTAACAATATATATGGACATTATTAGCAAATTTAATTTTATAATATTTAAATATTATATTCATATATATTAATGCATTAATGACATTAATAGTAAATTGCATAAATGGCAAGTTTTATATTACTTCAACATTATTAATATAAATTTTTATAGTAATTTAATAATATTAATAATTATTTTTTGAACATTTTAATATTATAGACATTATTAATAGCAAGTTTCACAACTATTTAATATTACGGGCTTAGAGCCTTAAGTCTTTAAAAAATTTAGTTATTAATGCTATTTTTTAGATTGTATGTTCGATTGCAAAATTCCATCTTATATAACAGACAGATGGTATTGTTTATAATTTATTCCATTCTTCATAAATGTTCGACTGACCCCAAAAAACGCTAAAAATGGCGCTGGGTGAAAGAATAGAAAGCTTTTGTCATAGGGGATGAGACAAATTACATTTTTCACAAAGACACCATTTAAATAGAGTGGGCGCCTGTTATGAGAAGACAAAATACATGAAGAATTTCTTTTATAAAAAATAAACACCCTGATGAGAAAACAATGACCAGCATACTAAATGCTTTCCGTCTTTTAAAGGAAGTCATTTATAATAGCTAGTCATACTGGTAAGGTACACGAGAAAATATTTATCGCGCTGAATAAATTTGCATAAATTTCATGCAACACTGACAAATAAAACAAATATTTGATTTTTTGCTTAATATTATGTATTGTTTTCTAGTTTCATTTTACAATACAAGACAGACAATGAAACAGTTATGATTAGTTATGATATATTTAAATATTAAAAAAATAAGGTCATTTTTTTCTTGGGTGTTATTTCTTATTGGTCAGTCAAAGGATTCACAATTGTTTCTACCGGGAAAATTTATAAACAATTATCAAATAATATTTTTAACGTAGTTGCTTAAACAATAAAAATTAAATTTGTATTAGTTAATTAATTAACGTTTAAAAGTGTATTAACGCCTTGATTCCTTTTTTTCAATGCAATAAAATAAAAAATAAAATTTAAGAGCCACATTTTTCAAATAAAGTAAAAGGTGAAAATAACTATCTCCTGTCACAACTGAAATAAAAAACGTAGAGATCATCACTTTCGTAAGACGTAGGGGGATTTTCGGTGGTGATAGGTGACGTGCCCTACGTTTTTCATTTTTGTTATAATGAAATAGAATTATTTTACCTTTAAAGTCCACTTGAAAAAGGTTTTTAAGAATTTGATGTAATTTCATTATTACTTTTTTCTTTTTAGTTTTTGTATATTAGTTCGTTTACGTCAAAAAGAGGTCGAAGTTTTATTTGGAGACAAAGGGAAGAAAAAATTTGGTTACGATATTTAGGAATAAATTGTATTGTGCATTGTCATTAGGCATCGAGCTAAATTTGAAATTTGAATACTTTAGCCATCCGGAAAGTAATCAAAATGACGATTAACGATTGTTTATATTTGGAAATAAGCTCTGTTGTATAGGTCAGAAAGCTATAGAAACTAATG